AAAAAAGGAAGAGCGAGTATGCATTACACTTCTTTCATAAGCTGTGCAGCTCCCAGCACAGTGTTCCCTCCATATCCATGGAATGAATGTCCCATTCTGCCCTGCTTTCCCGCTTCTTGACCATAATTTCTCCTCAGAGACACTGCTCTAACCATATCTTTCCTTTAGGCTCTTATCTGTCCTTCACATGTTCAAATCATATCCATCTTGTGAGGCCACCTACCTTTTTTTTTTGAGACAGAGTCTTGCTCTGTCACCTAGACTGCAGTGCAGTGGCAAGGTCTCGGCTCACTGCAGCCTCCACCTCCTGGGCTCAAGTGATTCTCCTGCCTAAGCCTCCAGAGTAGCTAGGATTACAGGCACATGCCACCACGCCAGGCTAATTGAACCAGTTCAAGACCAGTTGGCCAGCTGGTCTCAAACTTCTGACCTCAAAGTGATCCACTGGCCTCGACCTCCCAAAGTGCTGGGATTACAGGTGTGAGCCACTGCACCTGGCCAACGACCTTCCCTTTTTATCCTGGGGATAAAGGACTGAATCTCTTTTGAACTCCTATTTATAAAGCTGAATCACATGAAATTGTTGTTTCTATAGATCAAAAATGGCCAAACATTGGCTATTTTATGAGGTTCAACCTAGTATACTCCCTTTTGCTGACTTGGCGCTCCGTCTTATTTTGTAGTACTTTCTGTTACTAGAATAACGGTTTCTTTCTTTTCTGGCTTTCTCCCTGCTTCCTACTCCCACCCCCACCAAATGGAAGCCCCATGAGAGCAGGACCTGTGTTCTTATTCTTTGCTGTGATTCTAGTGCCCAACACACTGCATGGTACATGGTAGGAGATGGTTATTTGGATTATTTACAGTTTGAGACTTTTACAAAGAATGCTGCTATGAACATCTTTTTCTGTGTCTCTTTTGTTCAAGCAATTCTCCTGTCTCAGCCTCTCATGTAGCTGGGATTACAGGTGTGCACCACCACACCTGGTTAATTTTTGTATTTCAGTAGAGATGGGGTTTTACCATGTTGGCCAGGCTGGTCTTGAACTCCTGACCTCAGGCGATCCACCCATCTCAGCTTCCCAAAGTGCTGGGATTGAAGGCATGAGCCACCTCGCCCATCCTATATTTTATTTTTATTTATTTATTTATTTTTTTGAGACGGAGTCTCATTCTTATTGCCCAGGCTGGAGTGCAATAGCACAATCTCAGCTTACCGCAAACTCCGCCTCCTGGGTTCAAGTGATTCTCCTGCCTCAGCCTCCCGGGTAGCTGGGAGTACAGGCATGTGCCACCATGCCTGGCTAATTTTGTATTTTTAGTAGAGACAGAGTTTCTCCATGTTGGTCAGGCTGGTCTCAAACTCCCAGGTGATCCGCCTGCCTCGGCCTCCCAAAGTGTTGAGATTACAGGCCTGAGCTACTGCGC